GTGTCTCTCCCAGTGTCTCTCCCTGTGTCTCTCTCTCCCTCTGTCTCCCCGTGTCTCCCTGTGTCTCCCCGTGTGCCCCACTGTGTCTCTGATTTATCGCGTAGCCACGAGAAACGGGGAACGACGCCTCAACAATGACAGAGATCCCATCAGCATTCAAAGGCAGACACCATCACCACCATCACCACCATCACCATCACCACCATCACCACCATCACCTACACGTAGCCCATAAGCATTCACACACAGACACCATCACCACCACCATCACCACCATCACCACCACCACCATCATCACCATCACCACCACCATCACCACCACCACCATCACCACCATCACCACCATCATCACCATCACCACCACCATCACCACCACCACCATCATCACCACCACCATCACCACCATCACCACCACCATCACCACCACCATCACCACCATCACCACCACCACCATCACCACCACCACCACCATCACCACCACCATCACCACCATCACCACCACCATCATCACCACCACCATCACTTACACGTAGCCCATCAGCATTCACGCACAGACACCACCATCACCACCATCACCATCATGACCACCATCACCACCACCATCACCACCACCACCATCACCACCATCACCACCATCACCATCACCACCACCATCACCACCATCACCATCACCACCATCACCACCACCACCATCACCACCATCACCATCATGACCACCACCACCATCATCACCATCACCACCATCACCACCACTATCACCACCACCATCACCACCATCACCATCATCTCCATCACCACCACCATCACCACCATCACCATCATGACCACCATCACCATCACCACCACCACCACCATCACCACCATCACCACCACCACCACCATCACCACCACCACCATCACCACCACCATCACCACCATCATCACCACCATCACCACCATCACCATCACCACCATCACCACCACCATCACCACCATCACCATCATGACCACCATCACCACCACCATCACCATCATCACCACCACCATCACCACCATCACCACCACCATCACCACCATCACCACCACCACCATCATCACCATCACCACCATCACCACCATCACCATCATCACCACCACCACCATCACCACCATCACCACCACCACCACCATCACCACCACCACCATCACCACCACCATCACCACCATCATCACCACCATCACCACCATCACCATCACCACCACCACCATCACCACCATCACCATCATGACCACCATCACCACCACCATCACCATCATCACCACCACCATCACCACCATCACCACCACCATCACCACCATCACCACCACCACCATCACCACCACCATCACCACCATCACCACCACCACCATCATCACCACCACCATCACTTACACGTAGCCCATCAGCATTCACGCACAGACACCACCATCACCACCATCACCATCATGACCACCATCACCACCACCATCACCACCACCACCATCACCACCATCACCACCATCACCATCACCACCACCATCACCACCATCACCATCACCACCATCACCACCACCACCATCACCACCATCACCATCATGACCACCACCACCATCATCACCATCACCACCATCACCACCACTATCACCACCACCATCACCACCATCACCATCATCTCCATCACCACCACCATCACCACCATCACCATCATGACCACCATCACCATCACCACCACCACCACCATCACCACCATCACCACCACCACCACCACCACCATCACCACCACCATCACCACCATCATCACCACCATCACCACCATCACCACCATCACCACCACCATCACCACCATCACCATCATGACCACCATCACCACCACCATCACCATCATCACCACCACCATCACCACCATCACCACCACCATCACCACCATCACCACCACCACCATCATCACCATCACCACCATCACCACCATCACCACCACCACCATCATCACCATCACCACCATCACCACCACCACCATCACCTACACGTAGCCCATCAGCATTCACACACAGACACCATCACCATCACCACCATCATCACCACCATCACCATCATGACCACCATCACCATCATGACCACCATCACCATCACCACCACCATCACCACCACCATCACCACCACCATCACCACCATCACCATCACCTACACGTAGCCCATCAGCATTCACACACAGACACCACCATCATCGCCATCACCACCATCACTACCATCCCCACCACCATCACCACCATCATCATCATCACCACGATCACCACCATCACCACCATTATCACCATCACGCACACACAGACACTCGCACACAAACACACTCAAACATACACTCACACACACAGACACAAACATCCAGACACACACACACACAGACACACAGACACACACACACAGTGACACACTCACACACACACAGTGACACACTCACACACACACAGTGGCACACACACCTAGTGACAGACACACAAACACACAGAAACACTTACACACAAATACACACACAGTGACACACTCACACCCACAGTGACACACACACATAGTGACACACACACAGTGACACACACACACAGTGACACACTCACACACACACAGTGACACACTCACACACACACCCAGTGACACACACACCCAGTGACACACACACAAACACACAGAAACACTTACACACAAACACACACACAGTGACACACTCACACACACCCAGTGACACACACACCCAGTGACACACACAAACATGACACACACAGTGACACACACACAGTGATACACACACACACACACAGAAACACTTACACACAAACACACACACAGTGACACACTCACACACACCCAGTGACACACACACAGTGACACACACAAACATGACACACACAGTGACACACACACAGTGATACACACACACACACTGACACACACACACACATACAGTGACACACACACAGTGACACACACACACATACAGTGACACACACACAGTAACACACACACAGTGACACACACACAGTGACACACACAGTGACACACACACAGTGACACACACAATGACACCCACAGTGACACACACACAGTAACACACAGTGACACACACGCACAGTGACACACACACAGTGACACACACAGTGACACACAGTGACACACACACACACAGTGACACACACACAGTGACACACACACAGTGACACACACACACAGTGACACATACAGTAACAAACACACACACAGTGACACACACACAGTGACACACACACAGTGACACACACAGTGACACACAGTGACACACACAGTGACACACACACAGTGACACACACACACACAGTGACACACACAGTAACAAACACACACACAGTGACACACACACAGTGACACACACACAATGACACACACAGTGACACACATACAGTGACACACACAGTGACACACACAGTGACACACACGCACACAGTGACACACACACAGTGACACACACACACAGTGACACACACACAGTGACACACACACGGTGACACACACACGGTGACACACACAGTGACACACACACAGTGACACACACACAGTGACACACACAGTGACACACACACAGTGACACACACACAGTAACACACACACAGTGACACACACACACAGTGACACACACAGTGACACACACACACAGTGACACACACACAGTGACACACACACAGTGACACACACACACACAGTGACACACACACAGTGACACACACACACAGTGACACACACACAGTGACACACACACACAGTGACACACACACAGTGACACACACACAGTGACACACACACACACAGTGACACACACACAGTGACACACACACAGTGACACACGCACAGTGACACACACACAGTGACACACACACACACAGTGACACACGCACAGTGACACACACACAGTGACACACACACAGTGACACACACACACAGTGACACACACACAGTGACACACACACACACAGTGACACACACAGTGACACACACACACAGTGACACACACACACAGTGACACACACACAGTGACACACACACGCACACGCCCCCTGTACCTACTCCCATCGCGAAGCGCCGTCCATGCGTCACATATCTCGGATATAAAAAGACGCTTGCCGCTCCCTCCACCGCTCTCTGCTCGTTTGTTTCATAGACACGCTGTGATCTGTGGGTCTCAGAGTCACGAAGTGGGTCTCAGAGTCACGAAGTGAGTCTCAGAGTCTCGCTGTGACCTCGCTGTGAGTCTCAGAGTCACGAAGTGAGTCTCAGAGTCACGAAGTGGGTCTCAGAGTCACTAAGAGAGTCTCAGAGTCTCGCTGTGAGTCTCTCTGTGAGTCTCAGAGTCTCTCTGTGAGTGAGTCTCTCTGTAAGTCTCTCTGTAAGTCTCTCTGTGAGTGAGTCTCAGAGTCTCTCTGTGAGTGAGTCTCTCTGTGAGTCTCAGAGTCTCCCTGTGAGACTCTTTGTGAGTGAGCTCTGAGTTTCTCTGTGAGTCTCAGAGGCTCTCTGTGAGTGACTCTCTGTAAGTGATTCTCAGAGTCTCTCTGTAAGTGAGTCTCAGAGTCTCTCTGTGAGTGAGTCTCAGAGTCTCTCTGTGAGTCTCAGAGTCTCTCTGTGAGTCTCTCTGTGAGTCTCAGAGTCTCCCTGTGAGTGAGTCTCTCTGTGAGTCTCAGAGTCTCCCTGTGAGTCTCAGAGTCTCTCTGTGAGTCTCTCTGTGAGTCTCAGAGTCTCTCTGTGAGTTTCAGAGTCTCTCTGTGAGTGAGTCTCTCTGTGAGTCTCAGAGTCTCTCTGTGAGTCTCTCTGTGAGTCTCAGAGTCTCCCTGTGAGTGAGTCTCTCTGTGAGTATCAGAGTCTCCCTGTGAGTCTCAGAGTCTCTCTGTGAGTCTCTCTGTGAGTCTCAGAGTATCTCTGTGAGTCTCAGAGTCTCTCTGTGAGTCTCTCTGTGAGTCTCAGAGTCTCTCTGTGAGTCTCAGAGTCTCTCTGTGAGTGAGTCTCTCTGTGAGTCTCAGAGTCTCTCTGTGAGTCTCTCTGTGAGTCTCTCTGTGAGTCTCAGAGTCTCCCTGTGAGTCTCAGGATCGATCCGAGTCGGCCTTGGGGAGCACGTGGTACCTGGCACCTGCATGCATCAAGGCTGAGCAGGTAAGGTCGGCGACTCTGCTGGCCGTGTGTGAGTCTCAGTAAGCCGGTGTGTGTGTGTGTCTGTGTGTGTGTCTGTGTGTGTGTGTCTGTGTGTCTGTGTGTGTGTCTGTGTGTGTGTGTCTGTGTGTCTGTGTGTGTGTGTCTGTGTGTGTGTCTGTGTGTGTGTGTCTGTGTGTGTGTCTGTGTGTCTGTGTGTGTGTGTCTGTGCGTGTGTCTGAGTGTCTGTGTGTGTGTCTGTGTGTGTGTCTGTGTGTCTGTGTGTGTGTGTCTGTGCGTGTGTCTGAGTGTGTGTGTGTGTCTGTGTGTGTGTGTCTGTGTGTGTGTGTCTGTGTGTGTGTCTGTGTGTGTTTGTCTGTGTGTGTGTCTGTGTGTGTGTGTGTCTGTGTGTGTGTCTGAGTGTGTGTGTCTGTGCGTGTGTCTGAGTGTGTGTCTGTGCGTGTGTCTGAGTGTGTGTGTGTCTGTGCGTGTGTCTGTGTGTCTGTGTGTGTGTCTGTGTGTGTGTATGTCTGTGTGTGTGTCTGTGTGTGTGTCTGTGCGTGTGTCTGTGTGTGTGTGTCTGTCTGTGTGTGTCTGTGTGTGCGTCTGTGTGTGTGTGTGTCTGTGTCTCTGTGTGTGTCTGTGTGTGTGTGTGTCTGCGCGTGTGTCTGTGTGTGTGTGTCTGTGCGTGTGTCTGTGTGTCTGTGTGTGTGTGTTTGTCTGTGTGTGTCTGTGTGTGTGTCTGTGTGTGTGTGTCTGTGTGTGTCTCTGTGTGTCCGTGTGTGAGTCTCAGTAAGCCGGTGTGTGTGTGACTGTGTGTCTGTGTGTCTGTGTGTGTCTGTGTCTGTGTGTGTGTCGGTGTCTGTGTGTGTGTGTCTGTGTGTGTGTATCTGTGTGTGTGTCTGTGTGTGTGTCTGTGTGTCTGTGTGTGTGACTGTGTGTGTCTGTGTGTGTGACTGTGTGTGTCTGTGTGTATGTGTGTGTCTGTGTGTATGTGTGTCTGTATGTGTGTCTGTATGTGTGTGTGACTGTGTGTGTCTGTGTGTGTATGTGTGTGTCTGTGTGTGTGACTGTGTGTGACTGTGTGTATGTGTGTCTGTGTGTCTGCATGTTTATCTGTATGTGTATGACTGTGTGTCTGTGTGTCTGTGTGTGTGACTGTGTGTGTCTGTGTGTGTCTGTGTGTATGACTGTGTGTGTCTGTGTGTGTGTGTATGTGTGTGTCTGTGTGTGTGACTGTGTGTGACTGTGTGTGTCTCTGTGTGTGTATGTGTGTGTATGTGTGTCTGTGTCTGGTTTCTGTCAGCCACCCCCTCGTGTGCCACAGTGCACTTGCCCCCAATGGCTGCTAAGGCTACACGGGGGATCCTTGTCAGTGTGTAATGTGACATTCTGTCATACGCGCTTTAAATTCCAGAGCACACACAGGCACGGAGTCTTACACACACACACTTATAGACACACACACACTTACAGACACACACACTTATAGACACACACACACACTTACAGACACACACACACTTATAGACACACACACACTTACAGACACACACCCACTTATAGACACACACACACACTTATAGACACACACACACTTATAGACACACACACACACACTTACAGACACACACACACTTATAGACACACACACACTTACAGACACACACACACACACACTTATAGACACACACACTTATAGACACACACACACTTATAGACACACACACACACACTTATAGACACACACACACTCATAGACACTCACACACACTTATAGACACACACACACACTTATAGACACACACACTTATAGACACACAGACACTTATAGACACACACACACTTATAGACACACAGACACACTTATAGACACACACTCATAGACGCACGAACACTCATAGACACTCTCTCAAAGACACTCACACACACACTCATAGACACACATAGACACTCACACAGACCCATAGACACACTCACACACACTCACACACACACTCATAGACACACACACACACTCATAGACTCACACACACACACTCACACACACCCATAGACACAAACACACACTCATAGACTCACACACACACACTCAAACACACTCATAGACACATATACACACTCATAGACTCACACACACTCACACAAAGACAAAGATCCCCCGTATAGCCTTAACAGATTGTAGGGGCAAGTGCTGTTAGCGAGCACCTATGAAGGCCGGAACGGTACACGAGGGGGTGGGTGGCCAGCACCACGCCCGACCGCCTTTGTCTCCCTAGTGGCAATGTTTACACACCGCACCAGGTACTCATTTGAGGTTGAGTCGACCTCTCACACACACTCATAGACACACACACTCATAGACACACACACACACTGACACACACTCATAGACACACATACACACTCATAGACTCACACACACACACTTATAGACACACACTCATAGACACTCACACACAATCATAGACACACACACACACTCATAGACACACACTCACACACACTCACACACACTCACACACACTCATAGACACACACACTCATAGACACACACACACACTCATAGACACACACACACACACTCATAGACACACACACACACTTACAGACACACACACACTTATAAACACACACACTTACAGACACACAACAAAGATCCCCCATATAGCCTTAACAGACTGTAGGGGCAAGTGCTGTTAGCGAGCACCTATGAAGGCCGGAACGGTACACAAGGGGGTGGGTGGCCAGCATCACGCCCGACCGCCTTTGTCTCCCTAGTGGCAATGTTTACACACCGCACCAGGTACTCATTTGAGGCTGAGTCGACCTAGGGGAGGCCCGGGACCGGTTCAGATAATCGTCACTGGTGTTGGCCGTGAGCGGGAATCGAACCCGGGTCGCCAGGTTCATAGCGCAGCGCGCTAACCGCTACACACTTATAGACACACACACACACTTATAGACACACACACACACTTATAGACACACACACACTTATAGACACACACACACACTCATAGACACTCACACACTTATAGACACACACACACTTATAGACACACACACACTTATAGACACACAGACACACTTATAGACACACACTCATAGACGCACGAACACTCATAGACACTCTCTCAAAGACACTCACACACACACTCATAGACACACATAGACACTCACACAGACCCATAGACACACTCACACACACTCACACACACACACTCATAGACACACACACACACACACTCATAGACTCACACACACACACACCCATAGACACAAACACACACACTCATAGACTCACACACACACACACTCAAACACACTCATAGACACACATACACACTCATAGACTCACACACACTCACACACACTCATAGACACACACACTCATAGACACACACACACACTGACACACACTCATAGACACACATACACACTCATAGACTCACACACACACACTTATAGACACACACTCATAGACACTCACACACAATCATAGACACACACTCATAGACACACACTCACACACACTCACACACACTCATAGACACACACACTCATAGACACACATACACACTCATAGACACACTCACACACACACACTCATAGACACTCACACACACTCACACACACTCACACACACTCATAGACACACACACACTCATAGACACACTCACACACACTCATAAACACACACACACACACTCATAGACACTCACACACACTCATAGACACTCACACACACTCATAAACACACACACACTCATAGACACTCACACACACTCATAGACACTCACACACACTCATAGACACACACACACTCATAGACACACACACTCATAGACACACACACACTCATAGACACACACACACTCATAGACACACACACACTCATAGACACACACACTCATAGACACACACACACACTCATAGACACACACACACTCACACACACACTCACTCACTCATAGACACACTCACACACACCCATAGACACACACACTCACACACACTCACACACACTCATAGACACACTCACACACACTCATAGACACACAACAACCGCCATTCGCCACTAAGTGGCGGTGACGTCACCACGACGCTTGTGCCAGGCCATGTGCGCCTTGAGGCCACGTGAAGTGTCGAACGCCCGATGGCAGGAGGTCACGGGGTAGACCCAGCAGGTGCCACGGGTCGACTGACTGAGATGACTGACAGATGCACCACCTGTGCCCCCTACTGTGCCAAACTGCTGTGCTTTAGCCACCCGGCACTCCGCTCGTTGTTGTGAGCGTCGCTCCTCCGCCCTCCATTGTTGTTGGAGGGCGACTGCCTCCAACTGCCCAGTAGCGTCCTTCACGAGCCTCCTCCACAGAGGCCGATCTTGACACCGCTGGTACCGGTCATCGGCAAGTCCACTCAACTCCACGTCCTCCTGTATCACATCACTCCATCTCTTCTCTAGCCCGTGCCGCGCCCGCTTAGCCCCCTCGATCCGGCCGAACAAAAGCTGTTTAGGCATGCGGTGGCTGGACATGCGGGCTACATGACCCAGCCAACGCAGCCTTTCCTGCCGGAGGAGCTCACCGATGGGACCTTGTCCAGATCTTTCAAAGATTTGTGAGCTCCTCACACAATCCAGCCTGGTTAAACCCAGGATAGATCGTAGGCAGGCTAGCCTAAATGTTTCTAACCGGCGAAGATGTTCCATTAGGGGGGTCCACGTTTCGCTAGCGTAGAGAAGGGAGGGAATGACCGTGCCCGATAAGACCTGAAGCTTTGTGCAGAGCGACAGACCAGGTAGCTTCCACACAGCATTACGTAACCGATGAAAAGATATTGCCGCTCGACTGATTCGGAGTGAGACCTCTGCTGTTAAACTGGAGCCGGTCATAAGCACACTGCCCAGGTATGGGAAACTCTCCACTCTCTCCACAACTGCCCCATCACCGATTGGGAGTTGTGGGGGTGGAGTGTCCGATGATACAAAATTCCCAGGCAGGTTCTTTGTTTTGGTG